TTATGTATTGTAAATAGTTAAATTCAATATATGTGTCAACGTTACCTTGACTATTACTGAGGTTACTGATCCCTAATATACTTCCCCCTTCATTTCAGCAGTTCTTTATCACCACAAGTAACGATTAAAGCCCGTTACTTGTGGTTACTTATTACCTGTGTCTGAGTGACCAACAACCCCTGGAATTTTTTATCTCCATCTGTGCTGCCCGAGTACTTTCGACGCCGTTTCGAAAGTTTGTGGAGTAAACCACACATAAAATATGTCGCCCGAGAGCCGTCCCGTCAACAGGCGTCATTTGTAAGTAATCGTTTTCTCTGAGGCGAGAAAACCCCTTACAATAGTCAAGGCGAGAATTATGCTTCAAAGGTTGTGGCAACTTAAATCAGTTTGGGATGAACCTGTTCCAATTTTTTTATTCTCAAATGTGTGACATAGCCCATATACGTATCCGTCGTTCGTTATTACTAAATAGTTTTATTACAGTCGAATTCCATGGCTTCTGAGACGCCTCTATAAGAGCGTTTGGTTCCTGTATTTATCTAAGATCAATAAAGGCCAATGGCGATATCCTAGTAGAGCTTTATTACTTGTACAACTATGTGCGCAAGTCAAATTGTCTCTAAAAAATAATCACGTGGAAAAATGTTTCCTTTGGACCGATTCAACTATAGTTTTATCTTGGCTAAGCTAGAACCCAATCGACTTAAAACTTTTATTGCCAATAGAGTGACTAAAATTACAGAAATGACGAATTCAGACATGTGGTCACATGTGCCAACTAAACAAAACCTCGCTGATATAATATCCCGCGGTGTTTACCCTAATCAGTTACAACATAACAAGTTATGGTGGAATAGACCTGAATTTTTAAAACTAGATATTACACTTTGGCCCAAGTCCAACTATGCGTCAATTCCTGTTCCTAATTTAGAGAAAGTCAAACCTACCTGTTTAACCATTTTAATAGATGATAGTCTGTTAGGAAGATATTCGTCTTACAATCGCTCGATTCGTACAGTTGCTTTCGTATTAAGATTTCTTCACAACAGTCGTCTTAAAGGAGAAAGCCGTTAAAACAGACTTTCTGGTTCTTTGCAGCTGGATGAAGTTGAAAATAGTAAAATTGTTTTATCCAGACTCGTTCAACAAAAATATTTTGCAGAAGAAATTGCTTGTCTGAGCAAAAATTCCTTAGTCCCTAATAAAAGCAAACTAAAATGCTTGAATCTATTTCTTAATAAATCAGGTCTAATTAGAGTTGGCTGGCGGCTGTTCAATGCGGTCCTACCCTTGGAATGTAAATTCCCTATACCAATATCTTCAAAGGGAAACTTTACCAAACTAGTTATTTTAAATGCTCACGTAAGCGACTTGCATGCCGGGCCACAACATGTTTTATCACACGTTAGAACTGAATTTTGGCCTCTCAGCGGTCGTAGAACAGTCAGATCAATTTTGAGTAAATGCATAATTTGTTTCAGGACAAAACCGTTAACTTTTACACAAAAAATGGGAGATTTGCCCGCTGACAGAGTTAATGTTTCTCCAGTTTTTTCTAAAACTGATGTGGATTATGCTGGTCCTTATTTAATTAAGGACAGTAAGCTCAGAAACAGAAAACATATAAAAGCGTATATATGTATTTTTATTTGTTTAGCCACGAAGGCAATTTACATAGAGCTAGTTACTGAGCTTACTGTTAAAGGTTTTTTTTAACGTTTTTAAGATATTCGTAGCTAGAAGAGGTCTCTGTTCAGATATATATTCTGATAATGCTGGTAATTTTACTGCAGCTAATCGCGAGCTCAAAGAATTTGTTGCTTTGTCGATTACAGACAAATTTAAATCCTTTTTGATTGAATCCAAAATCAGATGGCATTTTATTCCCTCTCGCTCACCCCACTTTGGAGGTCTATGGTAAAGTGCAGTACGTTCAGTAAAATTTTACCTCAAAAGAATAATTTACAATGTATATTTGTCATATGAAGATTTTTACACGTTATTGACACAGATAGAGTCAATTTTAAATTCTAGACCCATCACCCCTCTCACAGAAGATCGAAATGATCTTCAACCTTTGACGCCAGGTCACTTCATCATTGGTAGTGCATTGACTTCATTTAACGAGCCAGTTGTGAGTTCCTGTCCAACTACTTTGGTTTCCCGTTATAAGCACATACAATTGCTTGTTCAACATTTCTGGAATAGGTGGTCTAAAGACTACTTTTATCACCTACAAGTTCGATTCAAATAGTCTGCAAATCCCAAGGCTGTCGAACTAGGAAGTCTAGTTCTCTTAAAGGACGATAACACCCCCCCCCCCTAGATTGGAAATTAGGAAGAATCGTCGAGTTACACCCCGGCAAGGATAATATTGTCAGAGCTGTTTCCGTAAAGACACAAAATAGTATAGTGAAACGTGCTATGATAAGGGTTACCATTTTACCGATAAATTGTTGAAGCATCAGTATACTTCAAGGCGGCCAGTATGTTCGGTTTCAAATGACTCAAAGACGGTCCTGAAGTTTTTTAAACTCTCGCGCCATCGTTGATGTAACTGTTCGGTGCGCGGCGTTTGTGTCAACCTCGAATCGGATTGAATCGACATGTGTCTTGCTCTCGTTTGTGTGCTTCATCTCTGCCAACGCCATTTTTAATTATTATAATTTTGAATTTCAAGAAGCATTGTCTGTTGTCTTAATAACCAAAGTTTAGGTAAATTTACCTGTAAATTGTACGTAGTTCAATAAAAGTTCTTATGCCCAATTTCACCAACTAATTCCTAAAGTTAGGAAATGCTTAAACCGGATTTAGGAATTCCTAAGTGTAATTTACGTTTCACCATGCACTAAGTAATACTTAAGGGCTATAGGAAGTACCTAACTTTAGGACAGCTTGCTGCGCCTGCCCAAGGCATTTAGGAAATACTTAAGTACTTAACCTCAAAATAGTTTGTTTTCATTCGTCTTTGTTGATAAGTTTACATAATTTTTTTAGAGTTTTTAATTATTATTTAAAAAATATGCGAGCCGTACGTTTTATAGAACGCCTCGAAAGGTTCGACAGTTCATCAGACTCTGACGATGAAGGACCGCGAGAACGCATAATTCGTCCGCGTGCGAATTATATTGAGACACTAGACGAAACTGATTTCTTTCGGCGTTTTCGATTACGTAAAAATACGGCATTACAAATATTAGAGATAATTGAAGATGTTCTTGAATTTGAAAGTGATAGGTAAGTTGCTCACCCATAAATTAATAAAATTTTTACTTTAATTTAATTAGAATAATTTGTTGTATACAGTTATTAAAGTACCTACTGTTTTTTTTTAGAAATGAATCAGTTTCCCCTATAAATCAGTTATTATTGACACTGCGTTTTTATGCTACGGGAAGTTTTTTAATGCAAGTTGGAGACTTAGCAGGTGTGAGTGCAAGTACAAGTTGCCGAATAATTAGAAAGGTCACTGCAGCTATATGTAATTTAAAAGATGATTATATAAAATTTCCCACAACAAATGAAGAGCTGCTAAAAGCTAAAAGGGATTTTTTCCTAATTGCAGGCTTCCCAAGTATTATAGGTGCAATTGATTGCACACATGTAAAGATCCAAAGTCCTGGTGAGTTGTATTAACATTTGTTTAACTTTCCATTTTGTTTTTCTTTTTTTTTTCTATATTACTTGTTTGTAATTTTTCTTTTAATTTTAAAACAAGTATTTGCTAAAAACCAATATTGTTCTTATTTGTAGGTATGAATAATAATTATTTATACTGGCTTAATATTTTTCCAGGAGGAGATGATGCAGAAATATTTAGAAACCGAAAAGGATACTTTTCTGTTAATGTGCAGACTGTGTCCTCTGCAGACTTAAAAATTACCAACATAGTGTCACGATGGCCAGGATCAACACATGATGCTACTATTTTTCAGAATAGTAGGCTGTATCAACAATTTGAGCAAGGTTTATTTGAAAATTGTATATTATTAGGAGATAATGGATATGCCTTAAAGGTAAAACATAATCTTAGTAAATAGGCCCAAGTAATGTTTATTTTTATTTTTTAGAATTATTTACTAACTCCATTCTTAAATCCACGTGACTTACCACAAACAAATTACAATCGAGCTCATATTACATCACGAAATACAGTGGAACGACAATATGGAGTCCTTAAAAGAAGATTTCCAGTATTGGCTTTAGGGTTAAGACTGAAGTTACCAAATGCGATAAATGTAATAATAGCTTGTGCTATTCTTCATAATATTTGTATTGAGCAAAATGAAGATCTGCCTCCCGATGAAATTGAAAATGTAGAACTTTTAATTGAACAGGGGCAAATTAATATCAGAAATGAAAACAATGATAGACATTTTTCAACTCGTGAATTGATTGTAAATCGTTTTTTTAATAATTGAATACAAAAGTGCAAGTTTATAAGAAAATTGTATTTTATTTTGTGTAAATATGTATATAAGACTTCAGATATATTGCTAAAAGTGACCCAGTCGGATTATATGAAAAATTAGTTAAGTACTTTTAACTTATTCAGTGTGTCCCAAAAAGTTTTATATAAAAGGAAGTTTTTAAAATAAAAAAATATATTACGGATAAAAAGTTTTGCATCATTTGAAAATATGTAATCAAGCATATTTGTAAAATTAAAAAAAAAATCCAATACACAGTTCAGCATTGGTTTTTGATTATTTATTAAATAAAGTAAATCAAAATCATTTAGAAGCAAGAGCAATGATTAAAACTTAAATAATTTGCCCTATATTGAAATGTAAAAGTATTTATTTTCGATACTGCCTATATATAATCAAAAATGTAAAAAAAATAGAATTTATCTGATTTTTGCATTTAACACTTCATTTCATTGCAATTTCCCATACATTTACTTACTATTAACTGTATATCCACAGTATATAGATACATTTTATAGAATGTTAAAAAACCAATAAAATTCAGATGTTTTATATGTATTTTATTTCGCATACCTAAATCAATGTAATAATAAAAATGTATTTACAATAATAATAAAAAAACAAGTTTACAATATTATATTACTATATACAATAATAACATACTATACAATATTACTACTACTTAAAAACTCTTTACATGCCCCTACTACTATTAATAATTACAATAAAAGAAATATACAATAAGAATAAAACCAATAACCCAAGTGACCTGGTAAGACAAGTTCTAATCCTTAAAAATTGCCTGTATTAAGGAAGGATCTACATCTTCGTTATCTAAAAAAATATAACATTTTAATATAAATATATGAACCAAGCTTACAAAATCTTACTTTCTAATTTTTGCAAAATAATGCTTCGCAGATGAATACTTTGCTCGGCTTTTCTTTTTTCTAACTCAAAGAGCTCCCTTTCTTCTGATCTCCTTAGAACTCCATTATTTAACTCTTGAGTTAAAATACTTTGTTTTAATTTTTCGGAGTGTACTTTTTCCTTGCTCAGTTGTTCTTTAACAGAAGCTTTTACAACTGGTCTTCTTCTAGAAGGTGTTATTTGTCTGCTGGTGCTTGCAGATTGAACAAGAGGCACCTGAAAGGTTGTACTTGTCTCACCACTTTCAACTTGAGGTTCCTGAGAAATACAAGTTTCCAACAGTTTACTCTCCGTCAATTCATTTTCACAAAAGAAGGGTTCTATAGGACCTACATCCATATCGACAACTAAAAACAAAAATGAGTTTTAAAATTGTAACACTTTTGAAACTGTTTTGTTTACCTATAGCAGGCTGAAAATCAGAATCATAAATGTTTTCTATTCCAACACCTGCTCTTCCTATCAAAAGTAACACCTCTTCCAAAATACTATTTTCTTTGAGGGTACTTGGCCCACCCCCTGTGCCCATTACATCCACTTTTAGTTTACTTTTATAGGTTTTGGCTTCATATTTCATTTTGTTCCATATTTTTTTCAAGTTATCTACATTCCTAAAACATTAAAAATATAAACCTTCGTAAATAAGTAACCCTCGAAAATAATGTTACCTTTTAATATTGTTATTTGAATTAAAATCTTGAACCAATTTCATCCAAGCCGTTTCTTTCTTTTTATTAAATGTAAAATCAGTTTTTTTGCATAAAATGTCACTATGTATTTGCAATAAAGCAAGCAATTTCACCTTCTCCTCGTCTGTAAAATTGGCACTTCTATTTCTTTTCCCTTCCATTTCTCACAATACACAAATTATTAAGACAGTCTATAAAATTACACTCTACAATTACTTATTTATAACAAAATACACCAAATTAACAAAATCAAAAAATAACCACAACTACACTCCAAACGTCCAAACAAGTGAAATTTGAGGTCAATAACAATCTTCTTTTTCTTCTTTTCTCACTAAATGTTAAATTGTAATCTCCACCTATTCTGTTTAGACGTTAAAATTGAACAGTAATGCCAACTATATTCATACAACTATCCAAATCAAATTTTTATGTAGGTATTTCCTAACTAAGAATTTCTTAGGTTGGTGAAATTCGATTTAGGTAAGTATTGGATTTAAGAATTTCCTAGCTAAGGAATTTCTTAAGTGGGTATTACATAAAAACAGATTGGTGAAATCGGGCATTAGTGTTCTTTACGTATAAACTCAATCGGTCCTTTGTTTTTTATTTACATATTGTGGTTTACAATCTAAAAGACTTGTGTTGTATCACGATATCCGATATCTACTACATTAGATAATCTTAATTTAGCATAATGAGCTAACATTACATCCACAACAAACATTTTAAAAATATTTACTTAACACTAGTACATAGGTATGTATCAATAGTTCATTTTAAATTGAAAAATATTGGTAAAAATTACAACTAAAGTTAAAAGGACCTATAATATTATTAAGTTAAGTTTTAGTAATGATATAATGTTGAAAGTTTGTGGCAAATGGGCTACATCCAAAGTCAAACCCTCCCCCCACACACACATATAATGTTGTTATCTAGTGTTATGCAAATGGTTCCATTTTTCAAAAGAAATCCTGATTCATAGTCCTGTTTACTTGTAAATGCCTTTATTTGCCCTTCAACTATGGGTTAAGACTAAATAAGCTACTATGTCCCTATTGTTCATAGGAGAAATTCCAGCCACTTTGTGATCGAGTTGCCATTTACTGATTACCTTTTATTTATATCTATATCTATAACAAAAATATCCTTAAAAATGTAAAACGATCATATTTTTGTTTTATACTAACCCGCATCTTGATAATTTTTTAACAATTTTCTTAAATATTTATTTACAATTTTAAAAAGATCATAGTTATCCTCAAAAAATGTCGATTTTAAAAGCAAGTAAAAACATATTTCTGATAACCTTCGAGCAATTACTAATAGAGGGAGCGTGAAAACGAGTTTGTAGGCGATTGTTGTATTAGCAACATCTGTAGAGGAAGTGAGGAAGCGGGCAAAAGGGGGAAGGTAAACATCCTTCTCGTTCAGTGGCGTATGATTTATCTATAAAAACACACATTGTCCAAACGTTTTATTTGTAAAAAAACTAAAAAATTTCTAATTTTACTATTTTTAAAATGAATACCGCCTTATATGTGTCTAATGCAGGAAATAAAACAAAATCACTGTAAAGGTCTAATTTTTTCAATTGAAGAATAAAACCTTAAAATCAATTTCATTATAAATAAATACAGGAGCGACTAGTTTCGGCCTTACAGGAACATCTTTAGGCCTGTAATACAATCATCTTTAATTATTATAATAGGTTGGTCACTTACGAATAACATTAAATAGTATAAACCACAAAAATGGATCCATATTGTAGCGTTACAGCATTATAGAATTAAAGCTGTGAAAATAAAAGAGCAGTGCAAACGTAACTAAAAATAGGAAAACTAAGTACGGAATCTACAAGAGAAGAGGTAAGAATGAGCAATTACGAATGCATTTAAATTGCTCGGGATAACAAATAAAGCTGATAATGTAGTGGAATAGTCCCCGTCAAAGAAGGTCTGGATATGTTAAAAAGGACGGCGTTTTCTCTGTAAATCTGGAGAATGTAAGGATGGAGGGAAGACGAATCTTGCTAGCTACGGTGTAGATGGCTATAAAAAGGAACGTGTAGATGAAAGCCCCAGTAAATATCGTCACTTTCGTCTAATTTTTTATTCTCTCACCGTTTCGGCTTTATCTTCGAAATTCATTTTTAAAAGGAAATAAAAGTAATCATTCATACAAGCATATAATAAAACAACATGAATTCATTATATTTAATAAGCTAATAAACGTTTGTTTTAATGAAAAAACATTATAGGTGAATATAAAAAATATATAAATAGATAAGAATAATATCAAAATCAATTTGAAAATACAACAGATAATAAAATGAAATAAATTAATACAAGTACAAATAGAAAGTTAATAACATACCTTCTAAAAGTAACACATTTTAAGTAGATAAATGTTTAAAGAGTTTATTCCTGAAAATAACTAATCTAACGTTTTTCCCCTTTTTAATATTATGAGGGTTTTTTTTAGTTAAAATGAAAATTATAATTTATTTTGGTCCTAATAAAAATTTAAACATAGGTTATTAAAGAGTAAAATACATAATAGAATAGGAAGATGTAACCTTATAGAGAATAAACATTTAATGTTAGATCGAAAGCTCTTAATTGAGAATTATATTTTCAAAGGCCGTTTCAATAATATTTTCAAAAGTTTTTGGAATCGTTGTTAACAGAAACCTGCAAAAAATATATCATTTTATTCCTAAAATATAAGATATCACACAATGCACATTCATATAATATCATTGTGCTAGAAAAATACTAGGTAGGTACTGAGACAATTTAAAAAAAATATTTCGAGAAACTCAACTTTTAATGTCATCATTGTACTTAACTTTTTTATTGCTAAATTATTAATAATGTCATTTTGTGTAGTTCGTTGTGATTTTTATAATATATATTATAAAAACCTATCGTCAATGTTATTGTGCCAAGTTTTTTTAATAATTATGTCCATGTTAAAGTAAAAACACATTTAAACACATTTTCTGGATTTCTGCTTTAAATTATCGTACAATTGGACTGACTAATTGTGTGTTTAAGTAAAGCTATATCTCTTTTTTGTTATAACAGTCTTTGTATATTGCTCTAACTTTTTAGATAATCAGAGAAAACAGTAAGACATCCTAATATATCCTATTTCACCAACAAAAATGTAGAACAATTAATCTCACATCAAACTTAAAAACTAAATAAAATGTATATTGCAACTGTGTTTAAATAAATGAATGTTTTTATACCTGACTATAGCACCAGACAAACATTTTTTTAGATCATAATGATCTGCATAACTCAAAATAGTCAAAATCCACATTATTTAAGTTGTTCTAGTATTCAAAAAAGAGGTAAATAAAACAAGGGTGGTCCTTAAGATCTCACAAGAGTAATTTAATACGACCGGTTTCGAGGAGATCTGCAGCCCTATTCTTGACCATTCGCAAATTTCAAGGTCACTCGTAAAGTCTGACATTACGAATGAAATAGCAAATTGTGTATTCTTGATTATACGCAACAAATTCGAGTACTCGCATAAAACTGCGAGTGGGTATTAACAATCGCAAACTATTTGCGTGTGCGTTTAATGAATTGACTTGTGTCATATGTGTTTAGTTTTTAATTTAAGATCTATTTTTTTTTAATGGATTCTTGTATTAGACTTACTAAAAACGTTGAAGATGCGATTATACCATGGTTATACCAGTGCAGACACATAATTCGTTCCTGAATAATAATTAATTTTATATTTTAAGTGAACATGAGCTTGTGCAAAAATTTAGAATTGCAAAAGAATTGTGTCGATTTTTAATAATACACGCTCGCCCTATATGAATTAAATATAACTTAACATATTTCATTTATTTAGTTAATAGTAGGTTTCTGATTTTGTAGGTTTTAGTAGCTTTAGGGTTTTTTTTTGCACCAGGAAGCTGTAACATGGACATTGGTAGAAGTTTATTTATATCAGTTTCCCGGGCATCAGTGTACCGATGCCCTGAATAAATCAGCAATGCTTTAAATGAATCAGATTATTTTTAACAAATTTCCCAAGAAATTTTAATAAGCTAAATGCAGTCAGATAATGAAAACTGTCATTCCATGATACAAAATATTTGTATCGTGCTGTCATTCAGCGTGTCATTTTAATATAATTGCAACGTTGCCAAAGTGAGAATGTAGAACATTCGCAAGTAATTGCGAAGGGGTCTCAAGAATCTCATTTTAGGAAAGCATGCGTAAATGAACCCTTCGCAATATTGACTATACGTGTATTTGAGAAGGATGTCAAGAATAGCGCTGCAGATCCTCATCATCAGGTATGGTCTAAAATAGATAGGTAAAAACGAATGAGCTCATAACTAATAAAGTGGGTTTAAAAAATTATGAAAGTTGTCAAATATCAAGAACTCACCCGTATTACTCATCTATTTAAGACTACGCTTAGAGATTATCACAGGGTCGATGTAAAAAACAAGTATGCGAGTATTTTTTAAGAAATGCATAAAAACAGTAGTTGCAACAAAAAGTTGATGTCAAAACACAAGTAGGTCTAAAACTATTAATTAAAATTATTAAAATATTTCACGAACGGACAGACATTAAGACAAAACAAATTTAAAACTTTTTTAAAACCTACAAGAACTAAAATGAGCTCTTAGACAACATGAAGTGTTTATAATTCTGAAGGTATAATTTTTTATTTTAGATTAAAGATCATAATTAACGCCCTCTAGATATAAATAGACGAATTAACAATTCTAATATTTAAGAAAAACAGTTTAGAGGTTGTCAAATTTAAATATTTTGACATCGGCTAATAGATGGCGTTGGCGAAATAAATGTTTCTTAATTAATAAAATAGGTTTTAAAATAAATTATTTGAATTTGTATGTAATAATTTCAGGGGATGGCTTTAGGGTACTCCACATTTGCCACAACAAGTTGATATTGAAAAATTTGGAGAACCTAGAAATATTTAGATTAAGAAAAAGTACCAATGCATTATCACTAAACTCACAAGTGTTTTCCGAATCCACACCCACGTTCTCAGTTCTTTTTTAAAAATCTACGTTTTCCCTTAAATTACCCCCCTTTTACTTTAAAATCTCCCTATGAAATTCTATTGACTTTAATTATTAGTTATACTTATCTTATCTATTCCCTATTTTTACTCTGTCTCCATTTTCCATTTTAATTTTTCAGCACATTACTTCAAAAAACAACTAACCAAATCAATAGTTTTCTCTTTTTTTCGTTTTCTCTTTCTTTCTTTCTTTCCTTTTAATACCACTTTCCTTTCTTTTTCAGTTGATATGTTACCAACTTCTTAATTTGAACATTAAGTACATCTAAAAATAATTTTCCGACGCTAATGCTAGACTCTACGTGTAACAATAATAATTAATTTATTTCATTTTGTTTATTATTACATACAAA